GATTTTGCAACCTACTCCTCATTTGAAGCAGATTTTACATGTGCAGTTCTCCAGCTTTTTCAAAAGTGAACTGTAAAAAAGGATCCAAACTCCTTCCACAGCACCCTATTGTTGCAGATGGACATCGAGCTGCTGGAGAGAGGCCAGAGGAGGCACCAGGAGGATCCCAGGGCTGGAGCAGCTCTGCTGGGAGGAAAGGCTGGCACAGCTGGGATTGTTCAGCTGGACAAGAGAAACTTCGGGATCACCTAAAGGCAGTGCCTGAAGAGAGCCCACAAAAAAGATCATGGAATCATGGAATGGTTTGGGTTGAAAGACACCTCAAAGCCCACCCAGTGCCACCCCTGCCATGGGCAGGGACACCTTCCACCAGCCCAGGGTGCTCCAAGCTCCATCCAACCTGGCCTGGGACACTTCCAGGGATCCAGGGGCAGCCACAGCTTCTCTGCCCAACCTGTGCCAGGGCCTGCCCACCCTCCCAGCCAGCAATTCCTTCCCAATATCCCATCTAACCCTGCTTTTTGTCACTTTGAAGCCATTCCCCCTTGCCCTGTCCCTCCAGCCCTTGGAAATAGTCTCTCTCCACCTTTCCTGGAGCCCCTTCAGGCCCTGCAAGGCCACACTCAGGTCCCCCCAAAGCTTCTCTTGTCCAGCTGAACAATCCCAGCTGTGCCAGCCTTTCCTCCCAGCAGAGCTGCTCCAGCCCTGGGATCCTCTTGGTGGCCTTCAGTGATACACACTGACTGACACACATTCCTATTCTTTTTTAGCACAACCCATTCACCTTCCCATAACCCATCTTTCCCTGTCCTAATCTTCAAGTCTAGCCTTCCTCTCTCCCAGTCTTTTTCCACCCATTCTTACCTCTCCCTTTCCCCTTTCCCTCTCTTTTCCATCCTCTCATTTAGATCCCAGTCCTAGTTTAAAGCACCACATCCCAACCTCCTCCACACTCCCCCCCTCTGGTCCCTGCTTTGGTCTCCTTGCCCACTCTTTACCCCAACGCTCCCACTGTTCCTTCATCTCTCAGCTCTGGTTCCTTCCACTCCTTCTTCCAGGCCTATCCCTGCCCAGGTGTCCCAGACAGATTTCAGGAGCCCTGGGAATGATGTTAAAACATCAATTAATGCTCCTCCCTCACTTCAGCTTCGCTCTCTGGGGACCAGGTGAGCTCTGAGTTGTGTTCTGAGCCAGCTCCACCCACCCCTCTTTGGAGAGGCCCTGCCAGGACTGTTCCCATGCAGGATTTGTCCCCTCTGGGTCACCTCCTGTCACCTGAAACGTGTGGTTTGCAGGGACAGACCTCATGGAGAAGGTGGGCAAACACCAGGGAGAACAGGCCTGTACTTGTATCTTATCCCCCTGTCCAGAGGCTACAAACAAACCTCACCTGGCAGGCTGATTTCCCTTTCCATGAGCAATCCCTGTATTCTGACACTTCTAAAAATCCCTCCTGATCTGAAGTTCAAGACAAGCAACACCCCAGTCCCAAATTTTGGTGATAAATTTTGGTTTTATTTTGATCTTGAGCAACATGTTGTAGACAGAAAAGTTTTTAGTAAGAGGAGAGAATTGGCTTTTCCGTGGCACACACAGGACCTGTTGCACAGTAGTTGTGGTGAGAGAGGCTGTCGATGGGCATTTTCAGGGTTTAAAAGTGCCATTTTCTTCCCTTCATTTCCCCCCCTCGACCCTGCTGTGCTGGGCCAGCTTCTTTGTCAGGAGTCTTTTTACAGAATCCCGGGATCCCTGAGGCTGGAAAAGCCCTGCCAGCCCACGGATCCCTCCATGGGGTTTTTTTACTCTCCTCCTGTCTCTTGTTCCCTGGGAGCAGAGCCTGACCTCCCCCAGCTCCAACCCTAAAACATTTCCAGCAGCTTTCTCGAGGACTAGATTCTGTATTTCCATATGCAAATAGGATGCGTGAGGGCATATTTTAATCTCGTGCTTTATTAGAGAGGGTGACATTCTTCATGCACACTCTCTGTGCTGCTCTCTGGCACAGGGAGGGATGGGAAGGACACCAAGATGCAGAGAGGACGGTTTGCCCAAATTCCAGCGTGAAAAAGTCACGGCGTGAGCCCTGCAAGTGAAAAGTTGACACTTGTTACTTAATAAAGGAAATAAATCTGTGTTAGGGGAGTTTATGTTTCCTTACTGAGCATTCAGGCCACGGCCACTACATGTTGTTCAGACCTTCCTCTCTAACCTTTGACATTTAAATATTAAATGAGGGTTTCCTACAGTCTTTGGATGCTTGTGGTTAGTGGTTTTTTTTTTGAGGAAAAAGAAACTTGTGAGATTCAAGGGAGCTTAAACCTGCTGAGGGACCTCCAGGGCCACGTGTGTGTGGACATTCACACACAGGCAGGTGTAGCCTCTGTACCTGTGCTGATAATCTGCACACAGATCTCATTCCAGGAACACATCCAGCTGGGTTTCCCGCTGCAACCAGTGGAATAGAATAGAAATAAAAAAAATATTCATTATTATCATCAATATATTAATATCAATAACATTAATATAATCACTAATATCATGATAAAGACAATAATATATGTATTAATGTATAAATAAACCCATTAAACCAGGGGGTTTATCAGGTCTCAGGAATGTTTGTGAGTGAGCAAGTCCCATCACGGACATGAGTGAGACTCAGGCTCAGTCTTTATGTTTTTGGGGTGTTGGGACACGGTGTTGAGGTAAAGCTGAGGGTGGGATTCCCAAAAAATGGGGGGTTGTTGGCCACATGCAGATGTGCATTTATGGGGCTCGCACGTGGAATGGAGTCAAGAAGGGAGGATGAACAGGGAATATAAATGTACATCCAACTGAAAATCAAATACTGTCATTTGAAAGCAGCACCGGAGATTTCAATGTATAGACTGAGGGATTTGCATAAAGTTCTGTGTGAGAGAGGACTTGAGGAACAGGGCTTGGATGTGTTCCCTTTTTTTGTGGCAGAGGAGTGTTTTAGGGAGGTAGAGCATTGGTAGAAGTTGAAGTTGGAGCTCTCCCCACTCCTTCCCGCCCCTGGCCCAGGACACAGCCCCAAAGGTGACAGAGAACAGGCTCAGATGTGGCAAGGTGCACCTGGAGGGTGGGAATGGCTGGGATACCTGGCCATTCCCACCTCCACTGGGGACCACCACCTGGATTTCCTCACCAGGAACTCGCCAGGCCCCTGTTCAGAACAAGGAAGAAGCTCAGGGCAGGCGCTGGCTTTAAAAAAAAAGGAAGCAAAATAAACCCAGGGAGGGCTTGCACTGCGGCGAGCACCACGAGGCAGTTAATTATCCCTGTCAGCTGCCTGGCAATTACTGCCTGAACAGCGACGGGTGGGAGTCTGGGAATACCTGGAACCGCTTCCACACAGGTAATTTATCTCGCAACAGATACTCAGAACAGCTCCCGGGACTCCCCCAAGCCTTGTCGTGCCTGCAGGGCACGGGATGTGTTGGGAAGCGCTGCGAGCTCCCAGCTGCTCGAGGGCAGGAGGGCCCCGCTGCGGTGCCAGGGCTGGCCGTGCCGCCGCTCACCGTGGAAAGGGCCGGGAGAAGTTTTCCACTTGCAAAACCCGCCCTGGGGATTTGTTTCGGGGACTGTGGTACCACCCGACGGGCAGGCAGAGCGAAAACAAGCTGGGTATGGGAAGGGCACGGGTGGCGATCCCAGGTGAGATGTGAGGCCTCTCTAGATGGGCTGGGATTTCAGATAGTTCACTGAGGTTTTTTAATGTTGAGTTTGCTGCCTTCTCTGCTTCCCCTTGGCCGCAGCGTGGTGGCTCTGCTCCCTCGTCCCCCTCTTTTCTGAGGACTTCCAAGCACCGAGGGCTTTAACACCCTGGGCAGAGCCTTGTCCCTCCTCAAAGCCAGACTGTGTTGGGCACGCGGGGGTACCTGTGAGAGGGCAGGGAATGACTCTGGAGGGACAAGTCTCCGCAGATGAAACAAAAAGCGTAGAAACAAGCCTGATGCCCCCCCCCCCCCAGACACCTCCTCTGGTGGGTGCAGGTGGTTGTAGCTCCCAGCACAGCCCCGGCTGGACGGCAGTGTCGGATGTGCTGCTGACGGAGGGGATCTGTCACTGACCTTGGTGGCTGTGCCCGAGCACAACGCCAAGGGAGTGTGCCCAGCTGGGAAGGGTTCGTCCAGAACCTCCCTCGCCGGGAGGACCCGGCCCCAAGGCCACCCCGGCGGCTTCACCGTGACCCCTCTGCCCCCTCGGGTACGGCCCCCACGGCGGAGCCGGGCGGGTGTGGGCACTGCCCGGGCTCCCCAGGGCAGCGGGCACAGCCCCCAGGCTGCCACGGCCCCAGGAGCGTTTGGACAACGCTCTGAGGGACAGGAGGGGGATTTTGGGGCGTCCCGTGCAGCACCAGGAGCCGGACCTGATGATGCTTGCGGGTCTTCTCCCAACTCTGAGACTCCACAGGCTCAGGGACCTCCACCCCACGGGTGCGACGGGGTGTGCGCTGAAGGCGCCCCGAGGGCGGGGAAGGTTCTGGAAGACCCCCGGTTAGACGGGCGGGAGGTGCCCGAGCCCGGGGGCTGTCAGGGGGCTGTCAGGGGGCTGTCAGGGGCTGTCAGGGGCTATCAGGGGGTTGTCAAGGGGCTGGCCGGGACGGATAGTCCCGGCTCCCCGACCCCCGGCACTGCGGTGACCCCGCGGCGGGTCCGGCGGTGCCGCCCCCGGCCCGGCCCAGCCCCCGCCCCTCACGGGCCCCGCACGGCTCCCCCCGGCCGCCTCCCCCCCGCTCTCCGGCGGGCCCGGGCTGCTGTGGGAGGGGGGGGCGCGGGGGGCGGGCTCCGTGGAAATTTCCACTCCCTGCGGCGGCGGCGGCGGGCGCGGCGGGCGGGCGCTGGCCCCGGGCCCCGCTGGGGGAGGGCGGCGGGGCCCAGCCCGGAGGGTCCGGTGCCCGCACCCCCCCCCGCCCCGGGACGCGGGGCAGCCCCCGGGCCCCCCTCCCGGGGCCGGCGGGGCGGGGGCGGCGCTTGGCGCGGGCTGGGCCGAGCCTGCGCAGCGCCGGCGCCCTTTAAGCCGCGCCTGCCCGCCCGCCTGTCTGTGCAGCGACCGACCGCGCGGGAAGGAGCCCGGGATTCGCCTTCCTCCTCCTCTCCCCTCCTCCCTCTCCTCCTCCTCCTCCTCCCGTCCGGCAGCGCCGCAGCCCCCTCCTCCCCGCCCTGTGCCCCCCGCTCCTCCCGCCGCCAGCGGCTCTAAGATGCCCCGCTATGAACTGGCTTTGATCCTGAAAGCCATGCAGAGGGTGAGTGAGGGAGAGGAGACGGGAGGAAGGGAGGGGAGGCAGGTGGGACCTGGCAGACGACCCCCCCCCCGCCCGGTGTGCCCCCGATGTCCCCCGGTGTGCCCGCGCTGTCCCCGCAGCCCCGCGTGGCCCGGCCGGCCCCAACCGGCCTCCCCCGGCGCTGTCGCAGCGCTCCCCGCGTGTCTCTCCGTGCCCTCTCCCCTCCTTCCTCATTTCCCCCTTCCCTCCCCGCGCCCTTGCGGAGTTCGCTGAGTTGCTCCCCGAGAGCCGCAGTCCCCCCCTTTCCTCCCCCCCGCTCCTCTCTCCCTCCGCTCCGCAGGTAAGGAGATCCCTGGCTCAGCGACATGGATGCGTTTCTCGCTTCCTTTCCCCTCCGCCGCTCCCCGCGTGGTGCAGGTGAACTCGGCCCTTCCCGCATCCATCCCCTGTCCCTCCGCAGGGCTCCTCCATCCCCACCCCGCCCCGCCCCGCACCTGCCCGTGGGGCCGCAGCACCCCCCGCCCGCTCCCCTAACCCTGGGGGAGGCCTTTTGGGGGTGATCCCCCCGGGTGGACCCGCTCCCCCCCTACCTAGCCCCCCGTGCCGGGGTTCCACGCCAGGCAGGCAGCGGGGATGGATTTTTTTTTTTCCTCCCGCCGTTGCCGACACCAGTTGAGCGGGGCCGATACGGCGCCGTATCGCCCGTGGCAGGGGTGGCTGCTGTTGCCACCGGCCGTTGGCGCTGGTTTTTGGCAGAGCGGCGATAAAAAGCCACGGTGGGAGCTTGGTGAAGATGCTCTTGCTGTTTTACAGGAGCTGAGTCAATAGGTTTGGGG